GAGGGTTTTTATAAATGACACTCCTGGACAAAGCAAAAACAGAAAGCAGCAAAAAGAAAAGATGAAGAGCTGCACTTGGCCAGGTGCTGATGAGAGGAAGGAAATGGGCTTGAAGCTGTGTTATTGCAAACACGTTTTAGAGTTAATGGCAGTAAAAACAACAAGGCATTGCCACAGCTTCAGTCCTGAAGAGGAACACAAGAACTATGATGCTTCACTTCCAAAGTTGTGAAAAGATGTCTGGATCTTTGCTCATGGTGCAGCCTGGGCTCAGACACCTCTTGCAGCCCGCGCTCCCTCCAGCCCCTCTTCCCACTGATCTCCCAGCCCAGCGGTTTGCAGACCTCCACCCCGAGGCTGCGGGTGCAGCAGCAGCTACAGACCTGATGCCTTGATGGCCCGCGTGGCCGCCGAGTGGCCCAGCTCGAGGGAATGGATGAAGACTTCGGTCACCTTTTCTCCCCCGATGAAGGTGAGCTGCCAGGGAGGGGAGAGAAGAGGGAAGACATGGTGGTGAGGAGACCCAGCCTGAGCCAGGCAACGTTCACCCCCTCACTCCTTTCCACAGAAAACAGGTCAGTTTGGGAAAATCCTTTCATGTTTTCAAAATACACCTTTCAACAACTGCCTTGGGTGGCACTTGCCTTTAGGGGCATTTCCAGCTGTTTTAACAGACCACCAGCAAGTACAACAACCCAGAAAACTAATTTTCACTTAAAGAAAACTCCCCAACCCACTGGAAAGAAAACCCACGATGAGCCTAACAGCAGGGTCTGATCATCGCTTTGGGCGACGCAAATCCCATGAACAGCAGCAACTCTGCGAGCCACAGCCCCACTGCAGCCGGTCCCATGCCACCGCACCACAGCAGTCGTTGCAGCCATGCATTCAACCTTCCCCACCACATCTCCCCTGTGCACACAGCGGGGCGGGGAAAATAGGCTTCGTGAAGGGGCTTGGTTTGGAAAGCAGAGCACTGGAGGGACTTCCAGTGATGTGAATAACGTGTCAGCACTGACAGGAGTCACTTTGTGTCATGGGGAAAAGGTATTTGGATGGAAAACTGCTTGTGTGACTTAAGGATTGTCTGGGCAGGCCCTGCATGCTCTCAGTCCCTGAGCCAGGAGCATCAGTCAAAGCACCACAGGCACCCAGGGGATAAAAGGAGACTGAGTTCTGCCCCACCAGCACATGGTGGCTGTGTCATACCTCCATCTGCTTCACAGGCAGGTCCTGAGTTGGTGGCACAGGCAGAAGACCTCCCTTTCCCTCTCGCCAAGATGGGGCTGAGCCCCTTTGCCTACCTCTGTCTGGTAGAGCTGCAGCAGGACGGGGCGCGTGGCGAAGCGGCAGTAGTAGAGGATCATGTCGGCCAGGATGGGCAGCTGCTCCTGGGAGTCCTCCTGGGGCTCAGCCTCTGGCTTGGCAGACTGCAGCGAGAGAATAAGTCGCAAGCCTGATGGGATACGTGGTACCCACAGCCTGATGCCAAGAACTGCCCATCCCACCCTGCCGGGGATGGAAGCCCTCCTCCTGACCACTCATCTCCATCCCGTGTCCATGTAGCACAGCCTGCTGTACAGGATCGCGGTGGCCCAGTGCTAAGCAAAAGCTCTCTGCTTAGCTGCCCTGTACCTCAGGGAAGGGGGACGCCGAGCCCTACCAGCTGCCATGCACATACCTGACACAGGACGTCCATGGGCAGGTTCATCAGCCCAAGAACATTGCGCTCGTACCATGGGTCCAACATGCCGATGTAGTGGGAGATGTCGTTGGTGCTGCTTTCCATCCCGGCCAAGGTGGGATCCTGAAACCGGACACACAGGGGTCACACCAGGGCCCCCCCCAGGCTCCGCACCCCACACTTGGGGCTGGTGGAAGAGACACCAACACTCCCCTTGCCTGCCCTGCCAGCCTGCTCACACACCGCTCTCGGGGCCAAGCAGAGCACTGGTGGCACCGCAAGCTCCGCAGCGAGCAGCACACCTACCGCCTGTGCCGAGGCCCGGAGCTGCGGGTCCCCCAGGGACGGGGAAGGATGCATCAGTGGGGTCGATGGAGCCAAGCAGCTCCTCTTCACAGGGACGTAGAAAAACTGCAGCTTGAAGTACCTTGTCAGTGAGGGGCAGGTGCTCTCCTTGAGCCTAGGAGAAGGTGGGAGAGGGCTGGGTGAGCCAAACCCTCCAGTGTGTCCCAGCAGGGCCAGGTACCTGCAGCCAGGTCCCCTGCACCGCTCAGCTCACCTGAGGTTGCTGTAGGCTCGGGCCACTTTCCCCGAGATGCGGTCAGAGCCAAAGACCACAACACGCAGCGTGGACACCTTGGCGTCCTCATCGTAGCTGAGGAAGGGCCGTCGGTGGAGGCTGAGGTGCCGCGGGGCGAGCGGGGCCGGCAGCCGCTGGCTCAGGACGTGCTGCGGCAGTGAGTGAGCACGCCGGGAGCGCGCCGGGACACGGTGCTTGGCCTGGGGGGTGCACAGGCTCTCGGCCCGGCGCAGGGGCAGTGAGAGCGAGCCCGTGTCTGAGCAGTCCTTCAGGTCTCTCCTCAAGACCAGCTGGCTTTTGCTCTTAAACAGTTTGTAGATCTTGTTGGTCAGCGTGTGTCTGTATTTGTGGTGGGTCTTTTCTACCTTCAGCTCCGGCCTCCCCACCATGTCCAGGGAACTCTCGTCGCTGTCCTCCGCGTACCCGCTGTCCATGCAGTCCTTCAGGCTGGAGACGAACGACTTCAGGGACTTTCTGGAGACCACCGTCAGCTCCGAGATGGAGTCCTTGGAGGTGGCAAAGAGGGACACTCGGGAGGGCTTAGATCCCTCCTCCGACAGTGCCGAGTACACAGAGTCTTTGGAAATGGTGCAGATGGGGGAAAGCAGCGAGTCCCGCTCGGGAGAACAGCCATCGGTTTCCACCTCCTCCTCCTCCTCCTCTTCCTCCTCCTCCTCGTTCTCTGAGGCCATGGGCTCGACAACACTGCACTCTTTGCTGAGGACATCATTGAGGATATCTGAAAGGCAACCGGAGGGAAATCGGGTCTGGTACAGGATCCAGCACAGCCACTGGAAATATGATGACCCCAGACAATGACACTACTACAGCATGGCCAATGGTCTCTTTGATCCTGCACGGTTTCAAACAAGGAGCTGCAAACCTCCTCTTGAAGGTTTTTAGATTGCCATAAGGCGCTCAGATGTGATGGCAAAACAAAACATGTTTCTCTCCTTGAGGTCACATTCTGTTTGGGTTCTTGAAAGGCAAACACCAGTTGGGGTTTTGCTTCCTTCCTACACAGCTTTCACAATGTGCCCGTGTCTGATCTGGGTTTAACCAAAGGGCAGGAGGAAAGCAAGGTATTTTGATAATCAAACCCCAAATTGCCCCACTGGGGGTGGCCTCCTGGCAAGGCTAGGCTCGCTGCAAAGCCCAAGCCAGAGCTCTGGTCCAGCTCGCTGGGAGCAGCAGACACCGAACACTAAACCTTCACGGGAACAGAAAAGGTCTTCCAGGAATGGGAAAGCCAGAGAGACAAGCACAGCAGAAGGGGAAGCCGCCGTTTCCCCTGCAAAACTGCTGCGGCTGGGCTGAGAGCACGGGAAAGGCACCGGCTCCTCGGCCATCCCTGCTGCAGGTGGGGGAAGAGCTGTAACATCCAAGGGGTCTCAACCCCACAAAGCCCCGACATCTCAGTGCGGTCAGTCTTCTCCAGCAACAATTATTTCCAGGGCATGAGCAAGGTTTACTCCTTGCAGAGAAGCTTTCTACCAAACAAGGTCTCTGTCCTACCGATATCCCCACAGACATGGGTGGGACAAATCTCTTCCAGCTTAATGCAAGGCACAACTTTTCTCAGGAGATCAAGCCCTGCCTGATTTGTCTCCGGCAGCACAACGTGTTTTGGTGCCACCAGTGCCTCGTGCCCACAGCTCGGATGAGGGCTTTGCTCGGGATCACAGCAGGCATCATGCCCAAGCTGACGCCCATGTCCTCTCCCATCCAGGGGACACCGGTGCCCACTGCGTTATCTCTCCCATCACCACCAACAATTTGTTACCATCTCCTTCAGGCTCCGGCCACAGTTTGTGCCGCACGCCTGGCTGCACATGGAGCTGGGACGCTGCTCAGCCACCCCTGCGACAGGGAGCAGAGGGCTGCAGTCTCAGTAGGAGGGATGGGGGACCCCCTCGCTTACCAAAGTTATCCTGATCCCAGCTGTAAGTGTAGCAGCGAGCGGCAGGAATGGGGATGGTGTGGAGCTTTCGGGGCTGAGCCTCGCCTGGGAAGAGAGAAGGGAGAGAAGTTAGTTTGCAGGGAACCCCAATACCACTCCTGACAGCTCTCCTGGCTGGTGGGAGATGCCGCCCGCCCCATGCACATGTTTTGGGCAGCCCAGGTCATGCAGAGCACTGATGCTGCTGTCATTATCCCTGTGAAGTCACGTGCACTTGGCAGGAGAGGACATTTCACACCTCTAAGAGCCATCAGACATGACTGCTGTCATTGGTTTCTGATCTGATGTTTTCATCTCACCCACAAAGGCTGGAGAATTTTTTTTTTGCTTGTTTAATGAAAGATGAGAAACAACTTCTGGCTCATTGCACGGTTATGAAATAGGACCTGGGTTGGTGGTTTTTTTGTTGTAGTTGTTGTTGCACTAAGTTGAAACTTTGCACGAAAGAGGGTTTTGCACTTCAAAGGGCTGGCTCCCAGCACCCGCAGCGCAGGGGAGCTCGTCGCCACTGCAGGGGCTGAGCGGTAGAAAACCCTGGAGGAAAGAGGGGCAGGGGGGGTTCCTCACCCGTGATGGCAGGAAAGGATGCAGCGCCGGCGATGTCCCACAGCACGGACTGCAGCCGCTCCCGGGCCGGGACAGGGTCGCTGCTGGCGGCTGCAATCTCCTGTGCATCAGCGGCACTGGCATAGATCTCCGAGAGCTCTTCCAATGTCTTGGTCTGGGGGGAGCAGAGCCAAGATGAGAGATTGAGGGGGATCCCTCCGCAGAGGCAATGCACAGGTCTTTGGGGAAGGTCACTAACTACACCACTGGGCAAATCTCTCTCCCTCCCCTACCTCCTACCTGCTTCAAGTCCCCTCAAAACTTCTGCAAAGAAAAAAAAACGTGTTTGACCAACCTAAGGGGTTTTCTTCACAAGTTTTTGTCCCCACCAAACACCAAAGCAAAGTGTTTCTCTGCTCAAATGAACATTTTTGCTACATTTCAAATCCAGGGGCTCTTCCTCTCTCTGCTTAGGGATAGGGAAAGGAATAAAAGGGTAAAAGGCGAGTTACCCCCCACACCAAACTTCACAAAACAGACACATAGACCTCAGGACTAGCCTGAGAAGGGAAAGACGTGCATTTTTCCTACAAGAAGTGTTCTCAATACTTTTTTTTTTTTGTGAATCAAATACTATTTTGGTCAGGAGATCCACCAGCCAACTGCATGAAGCTGCTCCCAGTGGCATCATGACATCACCGAAGTTGAAGCTCTCTGAGCCTTACCTTCAGGAGGTGGTGCAGGCTGTCCAGGTCGCAGCGGGTGCCGAAGTTGGCCTGGTAGAGGTGCTCGAGGAGCAGGACGAGCGTGGCGTGCTGCGGGTGCTCGCTGGTGCTCAACTTCTCGGCGATGGAGAGGAACTCGCTCTGCACCTCGGAGCGGTTGAGCAGCAGCACCGTCCTGGGGACAAGGGGACAGTGGTTAGTCTGGGCAGCCAGGATCGGATGCTGGTGGCAAATGAAACTCTTGGACAATTTCACACTAGATGGCAGTGTCCTCTCACATTAGTCACAGCTGGAGGGTGTCAGGGCTGTGCAGGGGTGCCAGACCCCCGCTGCAGTGCCAGCCAGGGGCAGGGAGCAGCTAAGGGATGAGCATCCTCCATCCTGCCCCTCGGCACATCCCCGGCACCATCTCTCCTGCCACATCTGCCACATCAGCAGCCCAATACTTGTTCAACCAGCCCCAGACAGGGCTCCAGCCCAGCAGCTAGCTGTCCAAACTGGACATCCAGCACATGCAATGAAGCAGGAGGGGTAGAAAATGAGAGGGGCCCCCAAAACATCTTCCCCCTGCAAGGTGCAGGTCAGAGCATCGCTTCTGGGCTTTAAGAAGAGCCACATCCTTCAGCTGCATTTTTGCTCCGGACCACAAAATGAACATCCACAGGCTTTTAATTCCCAAACCTGTAGTCCAGAGAGCATGTAGGCATGTGCTTACGTTCATTAACCAGAGCAGTCCACCTCACTGAGCAAAAACGGCTCTAAATTAAGGATGTGCTCTGGCGTACTTGGTTCTAGAAAGCTCAGGCAATGGGCACAAGCTTTCAATAAGGCCAAGGTTCAGCTTGTGTGCAGCTTTGTGCCAGATTTTCAGGGCTTTTTATGCAAATCTAGCCATCATGCTGTAAGTCATCAGTGGCTGCACTTGCACCAGTATAAGTGTGTAGAGCTGGGGAGCTGTAGTGGGAAAGCAACACAGCAGCACCAGCACAGCTGGGTGGGATATGGGTGCAGATCCGGAGCTGCAGGGCATGAGCGGACAAGGCAGAACAGCAGGACACCCCTCCTGCACGGAGTGGAGGTGGCTGTGCACGAAGGACTGTCCCTGGGGCTGGGGCTGGCGCTGCAGCCAGGAAGGGCACACACTGCCCGGGCTCATTTTCCTATTTACAAATGAGGTGCCCTGGCAGAAGGAAAGGTTCAGCCCTCAAATAAGGTGCAAAGTCTGACTACACTCAGAGCTGCAAGGCTTTCATTAATTGTTGCACTGGGACGGACTCGCTTCTGTCCCCTCTCTTGCTGGTGGCTCCCAAACACGCAGATCAAAGCATCTCCTGGCTGGTCTCCAGCCTGCGCCAAGATCAGCAGCTCCCTGCGGAGGAGACTTTGCCTTCCCCAGCTGTTTTCACCCAGATCTGCAGCCCTGCAGTAAGCAGGGTTGCAGGATAACCGACATGGGGAGCCCACAGACCCATGGCTGTGGAAATGTCACAGCCACTTTCCTTGTCCCTTCCCACAGCTCAGCCCGCTATCCAGCTTTTCTCCCTGGCACCCACGGCTACGCCTTTGAGATGCTGCTCAAGCAGCGTGAGATGGTGGGGATGCTACAGACAGAGATGCCAGCAGCATCATGGCCACACTTACACAGTGGAGCTCTGGTAGTTCTTCACAGGCAGCCCCTGCTCCGTCCTCACCAGCCTCTGGAAGGAGATCCCTGGGGGAGAGAGCAGAGGACAGGAGACATCGCACCACCACAGACCACTCTGCTTCAGGAGCACATAGACTTTGTCTCCCAGCATGGTCCTGACCTGGCTGAGCCACAGCCTGGAGTGGGCATGGCAGCACCAAAAGTCCTTATGGGGACAAGGCAACATGCAAGGGGACCAGCCCAAGAGCAAGGGAGCCTTGGGACGGAAAGGGTGAAAGGCCAAGGAGATGGGAAGGCAACCAGAGGATGGGAAGGGAGAGCTGCTCCATCCCCAGTCCCTTCTGCCCCACTGCTGATGTGGGATCCGCTTTGAATTGCATGGGTGACATTTAGCAGCTTCTGCCACTTATTTTAGCCCCCCGAGGCCCTGGATCTCACTTAAGGACAGCATGTCACTGCCACCTTCCCTCCCGCAGAGATGGAGCCCAGCCTGGCCCCAGCAGAAGCGAGGCTGGCATGAGCAGCCCACGTCCCTGGATGCCTCCCTGGGACCATCCCCAGGATCCCGTTGGGCAATGTCTGATGGACCTGGACTGGGTGGCAACAGCAAAGCCCACATCACTCCCAAAAGGCAGAAGGACTGGGGTACATCTTGGGAAAGATCTTACGGTGTCAACAAGATCCAGCACCCTTTCTGCTGTAGGCAGCAACATCCCAACCCCAGCTGCTGCTCAGCAGCCAAGGAGCAGCACCCACCGGGGGCCCAGCACCCATGGGCAGCTCATGTTGATCCGCACAGGCCCTCCGATTACAGCAGCGTTCACCCCGCTTGCAGAGACATCAGCCCCAGTTTGCAGATAAAAGCTATTGCATTCTTGGCAAATATTGACAGCAGCTTGTTCTCAGTTAATATTTACCCTTGTCTCAATAAGAAGCTTTTGCTTCAGCCTCGCCGCAGGTCAGGGAGGCCATGCAACAAGCGTATCAGGTCCTGGCCAGCTTACCAGCAGAGGACACGTTTTTGATGTTCTTGGCTCCAGTTGCAGGGGGAGAGGCCATGGTGAGGGGCAGCACTGGGCTCCCCAGTCCCAGCAGGCCAACACCTCCCACTCAGCATCTTTTGGCAGGGGTGGGGGAATCTCATATGCTTGTAGGAGGGGAAAAGCTTTTAGACCAAAGTTCCCAGCTCACAGAGCCCTGGGCACTGGTGATGGTGGCACAAGAGCAGGATGTAGCAAACCATCCCCAGCACTGGGGCTCTCCCAGTGGTCTGTAAAACACAGCCCTGACCGGTGTCACAGCAATAAATGACCAGGAAGGAGCTGGGAAAGTCCGCGGCTGCAGCAGCATGGGATGAGCGGCCCCACATCTGTGCTGGCCCTGCAGCTCCGAGCTGGAGGCTGGACGCAGCACAACAGCCCAGCCAGACCTTGCCTGGTGGCCAGGGCCATTTATGCTGGTGGAGCCTTGAACTGGGAGTAAATCAGCCAGTCCAGTGCCAACACTTCAGCGGGTTTGGGTTTTTTTAAATCTTTTTGTTTTGTTCCTTTGAAAGCATCTTTCATCCCATCTACACCTACAAGCTCCCATTCCCGCAGGACGTTGCTGCCGTGACGGATACCCTGCATTCCATGTCCCCATCAGGGCTCTCCAAAGCAGCTGCCTGGTCTGAGGCAGGGGGGAGGCATCCCCAGCCTCAGCCACAGCCCATCTGAGGCCTCCCAAGTCCCGCTTAGAGCCGGTCTTTACTGCCATGGCCCTGCGCAGGATTAAATAAGGGCTGAAATCTGCTCTGTGTGATAACAGCTCTCCATAAGCCACCAAAAGACAGGAAGATTAGGAGAAATGGCCTTTTAGAAATAATTGGAAAAGCTGCTCCATTGGGAACAACAGGACATCTACAAGGAGCCCTTAATTAAGAGGAGCGCTGCTGCTGCCGATAGACGTGCCCAAAGCTGTATCACAAGGTAGTGTCTCGGCTGTAAAGAAAGAGCCAGGGAGTCCCTCAGCCCTATGGAAATCTCCACGCAAGGGCAGGCTCGAAGGCTCCAGCCACCTTGATGCCGATGAATGGACCCACTGTTATCACCCCAGTTACACCACTGAGCATCTCAAACTGAGCATCTCGAACAAAGGCCGGGGCTGGGCAGGAGCAGCCAGCACGTGCTTTGCCATGGAAAAGACCCCTCAGACTGAAAGGCAGCCAGGAAATAGTTATGTGTTTTGCTAATTCACGCTGGTCCGGAGCTGAGAGTCCCTGGGATGCTCCCACCACCTTGCACACAAGGCAGCTACCAAAAACACAACCCCACCATCCCGCCTGCTGCTCCAGAGGAATCGGGTCTCATCCTGTGCTGGACCACCAGGGAAAATCATCCAGAGGATGGAGGGCAGAGGTCCTTGCCTCCTGAAAAGGCTGAGGTGTGGGATGCACAAGGTAAATATGGACACCATGCTCAAGGGATTCATGAAGCAAGTGGGGTAGGAGACAGCAACACCAGGAGAGGCTCGGGAACAAACACTGGGCGGTCGCAGCAGCGGGTGTTTTTGGGGAAGCAGCGCCAGCAGTACATGAAAACCCCGCGGCAGGGGAGGAGCACTTACCAGGGGCCTTGAGCTCGTCGCTGATGAAGGTGAGCAGCTCGCGGAAGATGTTGCAGTAGGGCACGGGCCAGGTCAGGAAGCTGTGGTATACGCTGGTGGCTTTCAGGAGCAGGTCGGAGCCCGGTGGGAAGTGGGGAGCCTGCGGGGGACGGGGAGACCCGATTAGAAAGGGAGCAGGGACACGGGCCTCGAGCGCTGCGTAAAAACTCGAGGGTTTAGGCTGGAAGTGGAAGGAGGAGAAACGGATCAGAGCAGAGGTTCACCCTGTGACACCCCGTCCTCTCCCAAGGAAGGGTGAGAGGATCCCCACTGGGCACAGCTCCGAGAAAGCTTCATCCGCTCTGTACCTTCCCAACCTCCCGGCTGTGGCTCACGTGCCAAAGCCTATATATAAATTTCTTTTTAACAACCACAGATTCACACAGATGAATCGCATTACAGCCTGTGCTTTTGCAAGATCTGGCAGCAATGATTTCCTTGGGATAATGATGCATTGTGCTAATAATAATAATAAAAAAAGTATTTCCTGTGAAGGCTCTGCTCCTTCTTTTCATTAGCGTTGCCCACATATTTTGCACAAATATAAAAGCTAATGAAAAAAATTTGCCTTCTCTACACAGAGATATTGTCCGTCTCCCTTTCTGATTAGCTCATCTTCAAATAAAAAGATTAAAAACACTGAAGTTCATTTTTTTGGTCTCTCAGCTTGTGCAATGGTTGCTTGGTCTTGACCCCTGTAGATTCATACAGGATCTTTTTTTGAGATGAATTGATCAAAGCAGATCGTGATGTTTCAGACGAAAGCCACCCCGATTTCAGTGCCTGTTCTGCATGGCTCCATGGGGCCCCGCACCCCATGCCTCCCCGGGGGCTGGGATCAAGCTACGTGCAGCAGCCTCAGGACTTACATACAGGACCGCATAGTAGAAGAGCAGAGCCAGGGGCGTTACGAGGTCATAGTCGCACTTCTCCTGCACCTGTAGGAAACAGCCCGAGAGCAGAGGGATGAGCTGGGCTGCTCACCACGAGCGTTACCCAAAAGCATCCTTGGAGGTGCGGGCAGACTCCCCAACAGCGCAGGCAAGTGCCTGACCCGCACCATCACATCACCGTCCCCAGCAGATTCCCTTGTCTCCATGGGAAAATAACCCCTAAAGCCCCAGTAACCCACACCAGTGGGACAGGCGGATCAGCACAGACTGCTGCTCTGCCTTTAGCCCCGAGAAGCTGGATTTGGCCAAGCTCCCAGCCCTCCGATGCCCCTGATCCTTGCAGAGTTGCATGAAATTCTATGAAAGTGGCTCAAAGCAGGCAGTTTGGAGAGGCAAGCAGGCAGCCCAGCCCCTGCAAGCGGCTTGCAGAGCTCGGGAGCACGGTGCAAACCACCTATCTTTGTCCCAGCCTTTGCCAGTGAATAGCCGGCAGAATTATTTCACCGAGGGACATAGTGATGGCTCAAGCATACGCTTGCAGACACTGTCTTCCCTTGTTTATGAGCACACCACAAAGTGCAATAAACCCTTACGTAAACCCTAATGTAATAAAACACTATCTGCAACTAGATCAATTTAGCCATTTAAAAAAAAAAAAAAAAAAGAGGATTAAATCAAATTGTGCTAATCTTAACTTGTACCTGCTCCGCAGCCTGGCAGCTAAACAGCCTTTCTTTCCCAAAAAATGAAAGGCAGCAATTAGCCCACCACATGAATCCCAGCGCTGAGGATTTAGGAAACACATCACCGTTTCCTGCCACATCAAGGGATTCCTCCGAGGTCTTCCCAGCCACAGCCCAGGGTGACCCTGCTCGACTGACGATGCCTCAAGCTTCTCCGGCACATGACAGGACCGCGGCAGGCCGATCCGATCGGCCCCGCTGCCATTTCGCCTTCCCGCTGTGCTTGACCTGACTGTCACGGTGCAAACCCTGCCCGTGGTCCCCAGCGTCCCAGCTCCGCTCCTGGCCCTGCAGGAAGCCTGGCAGAGCCGCAGCGAAGTTTCCATCAAAAAACAACAGGAAACCTTCAATTTGCTCTGATTTGGACTAGGAGCTCCCAGCTTATGCCAGGGGAAGGTCTGGGGAAGGCTGGCTCCATCCGCACAGCCCTGCGACCTGGGCTGCCCCTGCATGGCACCGAGCAGCGCTTTAGGAAATCAAAACCCTTCCCCATGGATCTGTGGTGCTGCCTGAAGAGCAGGTATTGGAGCTGGGGTTTTCCCTTGCAGTTCCCATGTGCTGAAAGCTGGCAGGATACACAGGGCTGCTCCCACCAGCGTTTCAGACCTGCCAACCCAGCATCACTCACCTCCAAGCGCCAGTGCTCCAGCAATACCTTACCACAACCCAAAATCACCCACCAAGCTCTGCAAAACTCCACTTCGGGCAAGCCCCGGAGCTGACACCATCTCAAAGCCCACAGCCCTCCTTGGCAGCCCCCCGACTCACCTCTTTGGCCTTGCCGAGGATCTTCTCCACGAGGATGAGGTAGTTGCCGGCGTCTCGGCTCACCAGCTCCTGCAGGCTCCAGCAGTTCAGGCACAGCCCGGCTGCGGGGGAGACAGAGCCGCCGTCACTCACAGCCCCGCTCAAGAAGGCCACAGGAGGGATGAACAACAGGAAGGGGTCAGGGCAAAGGTGTTTGCTGCCTGTGTCAGATCACGGCAGAGGGAAAAAAACCTCACACCCTTGTTCTGGACAGATCTAACCTTGCCAAGTAGTGCTTATCTCAGCGGCATCGCTTTGTACCCAAGTGCCTTCATGCTCTGGCTCACGCAGCCCAACATGCTCAGCTGGGTTGGATGCGTCTCCCCCAGGGAGACTGGGTAGCTGACATGCCTGCACTGCCACGTGCCCGCTGCAGAGGCCAGAGGGATGTGCGTGGCATAGGGGGATGGCCACCTTCCATCTGCTGAGCACAGAAAACCCACTAGTGCGACCCCTTGCCCTGCCACCCCCCAGCCCAAACGCCCCCGATGCACTCTCCCAACTATTAACTCACTCAAACGCTGCAAAATTCAGCTCCCCACCAGGCACACATCCAACCCCCTCCAGCTGCATCGCACCCGAGGGAAGATGCTGCATCTCCCCGAGCCGCTTCCCCACGCCCTGGAGGTGCACCATCACATCAGCATGGCGGCAGTCAGGGCTCATATCAGCTTCGTTGTTAAGCTTGCCCAGCATTTACTCCATCTCTTAGCACCTTCAAATTTTCATTAAATGTATTAAAATCCCATCAGGAGATTACCCAGATGCTGAGAGAGGAGAATTGCCGTGCAAAGGGATGGAGGGTCCTTCACCCCAGTTGACTGAAACCCCCCTGGCCTGCATCCCCAGACATCTGCCTCTCGCTGCTGGGACCCGACCGGTGACAATGGCCCAAGGTGTTTCCCGAGGCCGTCGCTTTTCTTGGCGGTCAGGGCCACTTCCCAGATGGTCTTAGAGGAAATGATCTGCGCAAAGGCTGCCGGGTGCCTCCATTCATCCCAGCCCTGCATCCCGGGGGAGGAGGCAGCGCTCACTGGCTCCGGCGGACCAGGATCTGCAGTCCAAGGAGGGATTAGCACCTCCTCCTCTTCCTCTTCCCCCCCAGGGACCCAGGCACTGCACACAGCCCCGTGGAGAAAAGTTACAGGGAAATTTCAAGCAAACGGCCCAACAAACATCTGAGAAGGGTCCATGTTTGCATCGCCCCCATCCCACATTGCCATGGATTTTATGACCAGGAGCAGACGCAGTGCAGACATCGCACAGCTCAGCCACAGCCCGCAGCAGGGTTCAGGGGGTGCTGGCACCGGGGCTCTTCCAAGCTCAGTCCAAAAGCAAAACCAAGAGAAACAGAGCATCTTTCACTGCAAGGAAGTGGGGCTAACGATCAGAGAGGAAATATAAATATAAATCCAGCCGCTCTTCACTCACATGGTCTATTAAGTGGCACAGAAACATAACAAACACCAACCCATGCGTGTTGGCTGGCGCGTTGGAGGTAACAAGGAGGAAACAATGCCGTGAGCTGGCAAGGGGACAGCGGCATTCATCACAAATCTACAGGTCACACCGTCTGTCCCTCAAAAGTTATTCCCAGCTGTGGAGGCTACAAATTCATCACACAGATACATACATGCCATAAAAACACCTTTACACACCTTCTAGGTGTTAAACAGGATGGATTTAAACCAAGGGAGAGGTATGCTGTGGTCCAGCTGGGAGAAGGCCGATGCCAAGACAAGCAAAATTAGTGCTCGGGTTGCAAAAACAGCCTTCGCTTGTCCTCCCCACGGACAAGCATTTGCTCACCACGAGCCACACTATTTCTGTGGCTCTATGCCTAACTTTTAGCTGAACAAAACAGGCCAAGAGCCTTCCCCCACAGGAAAGCCCCCCCGCTCCCATGCAACTTTTCCCTTTCTATGAATCAACATTTTCCAGCGGAGAAAGATCCTGCTGGAAAGTTTCCAAGGAGCTCAGATGCACTTGCTGGTAATTACAGTTGCAATTTTTAATTTGCCGCTGGTAGTCCCAGCATCGTGCTGGGTTTGCTGACACCCAGAGCACAACCTTGGATTGTGCTATCTTGTCAGTGAGGGCACAGCCACAGCGACCCGGTAATTCAGCGACGCTCCAGTTTGCCTTTGAGCCACTCCCATAAGCCAGCGCAATGGCACGAAGCCATGGCTCTGCTTAAGAGGACTCCAGCAGATTGCTCAAATAAATCAATATTGTCCCAGAGCGCAGCATCCTCCAGGGAAAGCTCCAGCACCTATGAGATAGTCAAGAAAGCAACCGGCTCAGCAGAAGCGGTCAGAGCTGCTGGCAGCTTTGCTGACCTCGGCAAGAAGCAGCTGGGCTCACGCGGTGCCTTGAAACAACCCGTCCTGCTTCGGGCACGAGGATCATTTCACCCAGGAGAGCCCGGCCCCGCTGCGGCTGCCCAGGGCGAAGCCTGGCCGTGCGGGGCAGGATCCGCAAGAGCAGCGGAGCTGAGCTCCATCGGGGTGCATCACCAGACGAGGAGAACGCCGCTTCCTGCGTGAGCATAACCACAAATACAAATAGCCCAGCAAGACGCGGGCTCTTTCCTTCCTCTCACTTCTACCGAGGGAGGAGGAAACTGCGGCGGCAGCGGCTCGCTGCGTTATTCTGTGCTGAATGGGGCAGAGGGAGAGGCGCTGGGCTGCTTCCCTGGGGAGGAGCGGGGGCAAACCCACTGTGAACGGGCCGGGGGGACGGGCAGGTAGCAGGGACAAGGGCAGGGCTCCAGGGAAGTGTCTTACAAATGTAATTTAGACCTGAGGTCTTCTGACCCATTTTGGGGTCTTCTACAGAAACTGTGAGCTGAAGCACAAGGATGCAGCCAGGTGTATTTGAGTAACATCACTATAAGTAGAATTTCTGTCTAACTCATAATCAGCAAGGCACTGGGATGACCCTGGAATGAAGCCAAGCAATGCTGGGAGGCAGCAGGCTGCCAGGGTCTGAGCTCCTAGATTTGGCAAAGCAGCGTTAACCAAAGACACACCAAAACAGCTGCATCCTTGCTAAAAATAGTCTCAAGCACAAAATGCAGCTCAGAAATCCTGGACACAATAAACAAAGACCACACAGCAAGGCAAAGTGTCCGGCACTGCCAGGCATCAGTCAGGACAGGGGATCCAACCTGGGTAGGAATTCCCGTCCCTCCGCACACGCTCCAGGTCACGAGCATCCACTTTCCAACCGCTGGGAGCAGAGTTAGTCCCTGCAGCCATACCCCCTGTATCCAGACTAAAAAGGTTATTTGGGCATGGAGGGTGATGCTCCTAATGCGCACAGGTCAGGAATAAAAGCCCCAGGTGACATTAAAAGCAGAAAGGAGCCACCCACCTGCAAGCGCCCTCTCCGTCCCTCTGCAGATGTCCTGCACCCGCCTGGGACACAGCTGGGTGCTGCGGTAGCACCTGGGGACTTTAATGAACTGCAGAGCAGCACTTGGTTTATTCCCAGGCCAGGGAGAGGCTGCAGCCAGGTGAGAAACCAACTCCAGAAAGTTTTCTTTGCAGCCACTCCTCCGTCTCAGCGCAGCTGAGCAGATGCTCCGCTGCTGGTTTGCTGCGATGGCGAATCATGCCACCACGCTGGGTCAGGCCACAAATCACAGTGACAACTCAGCAGCGGGTCAGAGCAGCACAGAGCACAAAGTCCAAGCTGGGTTCGTTGCACCGTACCAGGTACGCTCAAAACCGGCAGCGCCAGACCACTCCAGGCACGCTCCCTGTCCCAGGGTGGACGAGGGCAGGCTGTGCACCAAGGGCATGCAGCAAGCTTGAACCAGGCTTTCTCCTGGACTTTGCACTTGCTCTTTAATTCCCAAAACCACATTTTATGGGACGCAAGGGAGGCCCCGAATCTGCATGCAGAGCACAGCCCTAGGCGAGCGGAGGGGTGCTCCCTGCCATCTCTGCAAGCAGGGGCTGTGCGCCCCGTTACACCCTCTCTATTGAGTTGTGCAAGCACTGGAAAGTCCTGTGTTGGTGGGGAAACACTTCACCTCGCTCACCTAAACTCATACCAAGGCAGGGTTTGCAGAGCTCAGGCAGGTGCCTCTTGGCCGAGAGAAGTGGGAAGTAAAATCACGCACGCAAACCGCTCAACGCCTTAAAGGAGAGCGGTCCACGCGGGAGCTGCGGGGTGATCTCTGGCTCTGGAGGTGTCAAGATCAGCTTTTAAAGATGCACCTTGTGCAGGCAGCACAAACCAGAACTTCACCTTCCAGCCCGTAAATCCTACGAATTTGTCACAAGAGGAACCGGAGACCTCCCAGCAGGGCAGCGGGAAGCCCCACAGCTAAAAAAACTGCTTACATCCACCCTGCCCTCATGCTCATCCATCCGGTTTTGCTCCACTAGAACAGCGACCCAGCACTATTTTTTTTTTTTTTTTCATACATGGAGAATGAGTCAGATTTATCTGCCAGCAATACAGGCAGCCCAGAGCACATCGTGGCCCCGGCTGCAGGATGCTGGGGTTGCGACACATGGAGCTGCAGCAGAAGCAGGACTAAGCTGTGCTTATCCCAGCATCCTGCACATCACACTCAGTCTGAGCCCCACGTGATGCAGACCGAAAGAAAAATCTCCCTTTGGGAGAACAAAACCCACAGCAAAGCCTCCAAGCAGGGACCCAGCGCTGGGCAGAGGCTGCACCAAGACCCCCGCACCGGGAGGGAGCTTGGTGCTGTGCACGCTCTCGCTTTGATCGCTATCGGCATCGATGAAGATGCCAGCAGCGTGCCGGGAGCCGGGTGGCAGCGGCCCCGTGGGCGGCCTCGGAAGGATGAGGCTTCGCGATTTCTTTTCTGAGAAGTGCAGCAAGACACCGTCCTCCCAGAGCGGCTCCTTCCTGACCTCGGTGGTTGACGTTTCCCCTCCGCCGCTCTTCATAGGGGGCAACTGTCAAGTCGGAAAAAAAAGAAATAAAGCAGAAATACCACATGCCCAAGCTGCCTTCGCCCACGGTGCTCAGGCTGGGCATCAGCTCCCAGTGCCGTCAGAAGCGACAAGATTGGAGGGGTGAAAAGCAGATGTCTCCATTTCCTCCCTCCCCCAGACCTGCTCCCACCACTTCCACTACACCCTCACCAGAATAAGGTGGTTTTCTCCAAGGGACTGCCCAGACGAAGGGCCGACTCGCAGCAGTTCGTAAGCAGGGGGGTTGGAGGTAGCCAAAGCACAGGGCACAGCAGAGCCCCACGGTCCCAGCATCCTCTTGGGACGCATCCTGCACCACACTGGAGTCCAACCTGCAGCTCCCATTTCCAAGCAGCTGCTTAGAGCCCCCTGAGCAGGGCGTGTGGCAGCTCCCAGGGCTGGAGCCACCCCAGCGCTTCCCCCCAGCCTGGGCAGTGATTTCAGCAAGAAAACCCACCACAAACCTGGAGAAATCAGTTCAAAGGTTAAAATTTGCAAGATTTAGTAACCAGCACACCTTAATTCTGCGCTTAGAGCTGGCAGTATTGCAGACATTGCATTTCGCTACTTGGTGACTGAGCTGGAGGATCCCCAGACCAGACTTCTCTTCATTCCCCATGAAGGTATTTAGATGACTGCAATCAAGCAGGATCTTAAGCTTCCCTTTGTTAGAGCTGAGCAGACAGAACTCCCTCAGCATCACATAACATGTATCATTGAAGACTCCTCTCCCTTTCTGGCTCACCAGAGCCTTCATCCATCCTCCCCCACCGGCATCCTTCATCCTCTCTGACTCCCGTGCAGCCCAGCAGCAGAGACACGATGGCTCCTTCCACCCCGGGGACCTTTCAGGCAGCAGGCTGCCCTACAGCCCCCCAGCAGCTCCCCATCCACTGCCATCCTCCAGCCCTTCGCGCACCTCCGGCTCCCCAGTACCGCATCCCCAGCACTGCCAGCAGCCAGACCCAAGCCCAGCACTCTCCTTCACCAAAGGCTCCCCATTTCACTGCTCACCAGCCAGAAATAAAATATTTTTCTTCCTTTAGCATGCTCCGATTTGACTGTCATCTCTCTCCAGCAACATGGAGGAAGGCAAACTCTCTGAAGAGGGTCTCCACAAGGAAAAGGAGGTTCTCCTCCCTGGCACTTTTCTAACAGGGCTTTTTGTGATTCAGAGACCATTAATTTTAATTTGGTTCCTCCAATAAACGCTGCAGTTCAGGAAAGACTTTCCGTTTAGACCCCAGAGCCGGCCACGGGCTTATCCAGGGTATAAATTTGTGATGGCCAAAGCACTCACGCTTCTCCTCTTTGCTGACTTCACAGACCTCAGCTATTCAGTCACTTACGCGGGGGGAAAACGACACATCGGAAGCGATTACTCACCCACTCTGGAGCAACCTCCTGTAAAATTATCATGTGAAAATAAAGCATTAAATAATTTGAAAATGAACAAAATTCTAGCAAGGTCTCAGCCCAAAAAGCTGCGACGTGGTGCGTGTTATTTTGGTGTACGGAAATGGTAAAAAGGAGGGGAAAGCAAATAAATTGGGAAATAGAAGTGATATAAGAAGTTAAAAAAGAGAAAGGAGAAGGCTACTGCACAGTTAAGAACAAGATGGAGGGATTCATTGACTATATGAGGAACAAAGCCCTGCCATAAATAACAGCCTGGATCTGACACAGGACAGCAATAATTTAACCATTGCTTGTAACACAGGGAAGGCAGAAGAATATGAAAACATTTTTGCTCTGTTTTTGAAAAGAAATAGGATACACTGTGAAGGGGGGTAGGTATATCTGTGCACTCTGCTCTGTTTTCCCTAAATCATTTATGTTACTGCAATAACAAAATACTTCCTACTCCGACTGCAAAGGGGTAGGATGTGAAACAGCAGCTCTTCAAAGCAAACATAAAAAATCAGCAGGGCTGGACAGCCCACATGGAAGAGGACTGAAGGCACTGGCCAAGAAGCGCTGCCCCGGGGGCTGCCCAGAAGCGGTACCCTGGGCCCGGGGCACAGCAAAGCTATTAACATCACAGCCACCAACCGCTGCGGAAAGGGGTTCGCCGGTCACGCTGAAGATTTTTGGCAACAGCACAAATGCTGTTGATGAAAGGGAACTTTCTGATGTGTAAAACGCCTGAGATTCTCCCAGGAATGCAA